TATAGATGACTATAAATTCGGCAATCGTAAGACATCCAATATAGTCATCTAAAACCCATGGTTTTTATGGAGCAATGGATACGCAATATTTATGAATCTTTAAAAATTAACAATGCGACCAGAATACATAGAGTTTGACGGGGTGATGTGCCACTGAACGATGGGAGTATGCCTCACTACTCCAGAATCTAGTTGGGATCCAACTATATTAATTCCTTCATTATCATTGTGTGTATACCAAAAACGTAATTCGCCTTACACTGGTATGGTAAGATTGTACGACGAAAGCTTTACATCTGCTCTAACTTCTTCCGTCTGTTTGCGTAAGTAAAGATCCATTGGCAACAGTGGTTGAGAATTTTGTCAAATTTTTCATTAGTACTTATAGTGATTAACCTGACCTATATTAAGTAAGCCTCTAAATCGTAGGATTTTTAGATCGGTATCATTAGAGAATCTCAATAGTTCTAATATCTAAATTTGTAATTAATTTAAGTCCTTCATCCTCGCGATTGCTATTTTCCTGTGACCATTGGCGATTGGTTATTTTTTGCTGATCTGCTCCATTAAACTTACATCGGCGTATTTTTTCTGCAATGGGATATATATGTATAAGTTACTTTAGCCCTATTTTGTTGAAGATGATGAAGGACTGGTAGTTGAATTTTCCCACAATGATATGAATAGAGCTCCGTAGGATCCGTCTGCTATCTCCCTGGTTTAAGTATTTCACTACACCTGCCACCCCACCTGTGCTACTCGAGGCGTTATTACCCACCCCCTGCGTCTGGGTGACTAATTCGAGGCTAAAGCCTCTGAGTAAGTCTCATGGTCAATCCTTTGCTATATGGATCACGTCTATGGTAAAACAGGCCTACTTTCAGCTAAATATCGCTAGTCTCCGCCGCATCCATCCTGTTACTATCCTTAATACCAGGTATACGATTTGCCATGACCTAGTCTTTTGTGTGCCAACCCACAAATGTCATGGTACTCCTTGCTTTGATTAGGTTTAGTGTTAATCCACAATGTTTGTGTGTCGGCAAGGAAAATATTGTGATAGTGAAGGTGTGATACGAGGATATAAAAGAGGTGACTAGTCTAGTACAGGAGAGATACCACAGCTGTTTAGCACCCATTTGGTCAAAGGATCGGCTTCACTTGTCTATTTGACGAGTTATTTTATGGTGCTAAGAATAGCAAAACTCACTGACGGATCCGGCGAAACGTCTGGGAATGTTTCACGTCTACGGTCCGACTAAAAATTATCATGCATACAATGGATTCCTGACTAGCTGCGTTCCTCTAAGTCTTCCCACCAATATGACCAAGTTGCGAAAGCAAGGTCAAACAAATTCTATACAACGTAAGGAGACTGCGACCACATAAAAGGCCACGCCATCTTGGTTTTCATAATTTCGATTAAAGTTATGTTTAATAAAAATTTGCTTGTCTACTGAGGGCGCATTAGCACTAACTTCACTATCGTATACCTCATTTTTTGGACTGGAAATTAAGTTCTCTTAATACGCTACATTCTGGCTTCTAGTATACTCTGTCTCTATGTTCACAAATATCGTTATAAGGCATTCTCAAAATCTCTATTTTATCTCATTGAAAAAAATAGGCAATATCTTGCGGGTTTCTGTCGCAACAATACTTGACTCTTAGCTACTTAATATTTAATTCATTACATCTCACCTTAATCTTTATTTTTTCACTTAAAGAAGCGTGGATTAAATTTTATTTGATATCTCTCAACTTAATTTTTATTTTATTTTTACAGCGTTAATCATGGAACCATCCATCAAATCGACGTTCATCGTCGTCGTCCTTTGGTTGCCAGCGCTTGTGATGACGGTACAGTACTCATTGTACATAGTACCGTATCCGAGTAAGTTAATCTGTACATTAGCTTATAGATCACAACTTGCGTTCTATTTTTCATTAACTTTGTAATCACTAGAACCTTTTTGTACATCAATGTATGTCACCAGAGCTTAGATCTATCACTTCATTCTATTCACTATTGTGAATCAATTTGGGGATAGTATCTGACACGGTCATTCATTCTGGTCTGATGCCAATTGTTAGAGGCTATCACTTTTGATAAATTATCAATGCGATTTCACCAATTTGTCATACCACGCAAACTTACTCGACTCCAATTAAGGGCGAACCAGACTGGGTTGTATAGACATATTAACTTGACAATAGTTAAGTCACATTTGATTCTGTGAATTCACCTCAAAGAGACGTAACGACTTATGACGGTGAATACGAGTGCTGGAAAAGTGAGCTGAAACGATTATTCATGCCAGATACATTCTTTCCTGATTTACTTATAAGATACTTTGTTATTGGGATATACTCTTATAAGAAATGGGTGTAAAAGTATAGCAGTTTATTCTCATAGAGGCTGCTGAAAGTTCAGGCTAAGCAGATAAATACCACTCAAGAGACTGAATGAATAGTAGTTCATTAGGACTGTAGGGATTTATGCTTCTTGAGATAATTGTTAATGAATATTGTCAAATTTGCACTTAATCCTCATGCAATTGAAACACTCAATAAAATGATCTTAAGCGCATAGTGGGGCTTTGAAAGTGGTAAAATACCCCGCATGCGAGAGTATGCTTTAACTAATAGCTTTGCATTGCTATCATTCGATTTCGACTTCATAGTACTTGGGGTGAAACTAGGAAAAATAGCCGGGTTTAGATGAATCCTATAAGATAATATTTTGTATGAAAGTTCATGATAAGGAGATTCGTCGGTTGATCTCACCCGAAGGCAACAGCCTATTCTTACTGTTTGGCTTTAATATGAAGTTCATGTTAATGCAATCCATGGTATATCCTGCCTAGTTTGGGGTGTAGCTTGTCTGAACCTTCGTCCATCATATTATAGACACGATCTGAGTTGGAGCTCATTTGTGTAAAGTAGTCTGTACTATCATCCACTCTTGCCGAGTGATATATAGTGTTGCGACGTTACATTTTAAAGCAACTCTTCACTATTATTTGTAGAGGAGCAGAATGATAAGCGGTCTACCTTATCCCTAATCTGATTCCCGATTTGGCATCCATTGTGTTAAAAATTCTAATTAGCGCTTATATCATAGTCTCAACACAGAGGATTCTTTTTTTTCGGATTTGAAAATTACATATTTATATTTATATTTATAATCCGTTCTTATATTTTCGCCCATACAGCGATCTTCTCTCAAAGCCAGTAGTTTTACCGGTGAAATTGATTCACACTCATCAGGGAGCCAAGACTAAAGACATGAAAATTGATTCTGCGATGGCTGTTTTCTCAACTATTTTTCATACTCGTCAGCCCCACGTTTATACAGGCAGTGCAGATGGAACAGTTCGACAGTTTGTCGATTGGGATTAACTTATACACGTTAAACCACGCTTCAATTGTGTCCCTCTTATTTGCTCTTCTGCCTTTTTGCCCCTCATCCAAATTTTTGTAATCAATGGTCCTTGGGTATTACTACTTGTCTTATATTGAGACGAATTTTGATGCAACCAAATTGTAAATATACTTAAAAATATATTAGATGTATTCACTTTTTTCGTCTTAGGTGAAGAAATTATAATACTTTAAGATATTAGTTATAACCATGGAGTAACCTTTTCTGGCATGAAATTTTTCTTCGTTTTTTACCTGATCTAACTTTATCATGCAAATTGGTTTTTTTTAGTTTCTCGTTAGGTCACAAGAATTACTAAAAGGCCACCGATTTTCTTCGGTTATGCTCTATTGAATTGGGAAGTCTAGCCTTGCTATCATGGTACTTTGGCTTTCATCCTCGAATTAATTGCTGATCTTTTGTATTTCGTGGCCATAATCTAGAGGGCTGTTAATATACTTCCTCTGTGTATCAGTGTTCAAGAATTTCCTCTATCTAAGCGACATTTAGAACTAAGGTTCGGTGAGTGTTTGGTAACAACAACGAATATAAATTTATACAATTTCGTTGAGATCAACAAAGTAGATTGACTAGGTATCCCCTGTTCCTTCGGAAGGTCCAGATGCTACGTGTAGTAAATTTAATTGTGGAGATTATTTAGCCGATCTTCTTTTAAAGTTCCACAGAAAAAGAAAAAAAAGGAAGGGATTTTGTCCAGAATGAGTAATTAGTTTTTCCGATCTCACTTTTGGGCGAGAGTTATACTATGATTACTCATTCTGCCGTACTCTAACTCTGAATTCAAGAAAAACGTCTAGCAATTATCTGCCGTTATAGACGGACACGCTTGGATTTAACCTGGCGGAGCACAGAATTTGTCTACATAGCAAGCCTGTCCTATTGATGGCTGGACGAACTCATGCAAAATACATACTGGTAATCTTCCAATATTTGGTTCGTCAGTGTTGCGCATGAGTTGGAATCAATTACTAGATGGTCTTAAGCTTTACTGCTTGTCGGGAGTAGTCTTGGTGATAATACGAAAGCGCGTTTTCCGTTGCGCGCCATTTCTGCCGCCACCTCTTCGTCCGTTTTCAACGATACCTATCATATAGTTAATCGGATTCCCCCGTTCCCAAGCGTATCCACTCTCTAAGGCGACTGAGGAGGGCGTCCTGGTAAGGTGCTCTTCTCATTCCTGGGTTTCGGCTATATCTATTTTATGATTTCATGCGGAAATAACCATCATCTATCTCAGAAAAGTTACCGCTCTCGCATGTATATGGAAACAGGCTTCCCTCGAACCATTACATTGCGCACAGAATAACGATTTTTTGTCTTAATTAATTGAATGTGTACCAACTGTTAGTGTATAACCAATCACTGATGTCCCTTAATTGTCATTGATCTCACTACTGCTAAACCTAGCTCATGTTCAGGAGTATCTGATAGTATACTTAAAATTTTATTATTAAATTAATTGCATTTAGGCCTGTGATTTGTGTTGACTTGGGATCCAATCACTGTTCATAATTAAATGACTTAATAAAGAATTGATAAAATAGCTGAAGGTTACCTCTGGTTTTAAACAAACTATGCATTAAGGTATCAGGATCGCTGTTTACATTATAAACCATGGTTCTATGGGTGCGCATAGGTTTTGATGCTTCCTTATTTCCAGATAGCCTTCATCACTAATGACAAGTTTTGTTCTATTGGTGAGGCTAGTGCTAAGGGAAGATTTTAATGGCTTTTAGAAAGTGATACGTGTATATATACATAATTGGTATAATAACGGATTATGCATGCAATTTAGCCCAGTCAATAAGCATTCAAAGATAATGCCCTAATTTCCCATAAACTCTCTAAAAGAGTATCCTATTAAGGAATTTTCATCTTTTGCTATTTCACGTTGCCTTTTTTAATAAAACCTAGCTTTATAAGTTTCATAACAAAATTCATGATAATATATTATGAAGATCTTATAAAGCGTGAACAATTAATGGAACTTAGATGATCCTCTTATTTCGATTCATTAGCATTATGTTGTTAATCCTAATCTTCTAAAAATCTTATCACTTTGGAACAGCAAAGTCTACACACTATCATTGTGCTTAAGTAAGCGAACAGCTAATTTCTTTCGTTACGAATATTCTCCTAGGCTTTGTCATGCTGAGCAGTGCAAGCGTCGTTTGCTTTGGGGATTTGTATACAAAAATATTGTCAATGAATGCCTACCATATTTCTCAAAATAAAGTATTCATTTTTCTATGTTAACATTTTGGGAATATTAACGGGTCTGTTCCTGATAAAGGTTATCTTCTTGATTGACGCAGCCAAAAGGCGTGGTCATATATGTTCCAGAGTTCCACTGGGAGATATCAGCTCTACGATGTAATTTTGAACCCAAAGTGTGGACTTACCGATAAAATAAGACAAGTATAACGCTTATCTTTGGAATTGAACCGCAATAGGATGGGCTCACCGAGGTGTGAAATAACTCTCTATTAAATATAACTTTGCCTAGCTTTGCTTAAGGGTTCATTAAGACAGGCAAATAAATGGATCCGGACCCTAGTATTTTTTCTGAATTGGGAAATTTACCTATTCCCTCAGTTTTCCTAGTCTGACACTATAAACTGACATCATTTCAATTAGTATGCTGGATAAAAATGTACAGCAGTAGTAAGCTTCGCTTCCCTACTAGCTTCAAATTTTTATCTGAAAAAATATAAGCTGTCCTTTTTATAATCTCGTTACCTGTCCGTATCATGCGACAAGACTCATAAAACCTAAGAACATTTAATTGAATAATGCTTGTATATTTCCTTACTATTATCTAAAAATATTTAGTTTATAGTGCTTTCAGGAAAAAGATCTAAAAGATTGTTCCAGGCTAAATTTTTGTTCATGTTCCCGCAGATCGGTTAACAAAGTGAAGAGATAAAAGTTAATTGATGTCAAAATAAGTTGTTAAGAAGCCCACTTTATAATAAAGATTTTTGTATTTTGACGAGTTTTGTCAGTTTTCAGTCATTAGTGAAAAGCGCAATACCAAACCTGGCTAAACCAATAGGCAAGAGCGAAGATGACCATTTGCATGTGTCAAAGTCATAGAAATACGAGTTTTCGTTGAATATTGTTGCAGAGTCGTCTGCAAATCCCCCAAATAGATGTAGAACTCCCTGGTAAATAAATGCTCCTGGAACAAAATAGTTAATAGTTATACTCAATAGCACAGTAAGGCATAAAATCTGGCCTATAATAAATAAACATGTAGGTATGAAAATCAGGGTGGTTTGGCAACAATTTTGATATCAGTCTCCTTTTGTCTCATAGATTATGCCTGATCTCGTTTTTGCAACTTGTTCATACGATCAGAGCGACCTCGAAGGATGTACTTTGACTAAATTTCAGTCGAAAGCTTGTGGTATCTCTTCAACTTTTTGATGCATTAACCCATTATACACCCATGCAGCCCACTAACCAATTAGCAACTTTTGATTTGTTTATTCTGGACCACTTCAGAATAGTGTACCGAATGGAGCCAAGTAAAGTCAACAATTCCGGCAAAATGAATTTCGAGAGGAAACCGTTGGGGAGTAATAACATTTCTCACTAAATATGCTATAAAGATCGCACCTCGGGTTAAATAATTTGAAAGTGGGTATAATGAGGAATGATAGGAGATAGCTGAAGGACCAGGACTGAAGGAGTCGAGCCAACACCATTATTCGACAAATGTTATGGCATTTCCTAAAGGCCTTGTAATTTGAGTAGGTGAAATTATTAAGATAAGGCTAAATAAATATTTTTCGTATTTAAGTAGAGTTTCGAGACTACCAGTAAATATTTAAACTAGCTTCCTCTCAACTACGAAGCTACAATGTCCCTCAAGAAAGGAATGCACTTTGGACTTTTAAATGAAGGAAGCTTATAGAAAAGGATTAAATGGAGGTGATAAATCTCTCATAGAGGATGCCAGAAGGGACAAATCAAGGAATGGAAACATTATTCGCAGAACTTTGGCACATGACAAGCTTAAGAAAAGGATTAGTTCAGAAAAGATAAGTAGAACATTGAAATTGAGTGAGTAGATGGTTCTGAAAGAGGACAAAAGTCACTATATGTAGGAGTTGGAACCATGCCCAATACAGAGAAAACTAATCCAGGGCTAAGTGTCTGACAATATGGATCAAGGGGGTGCTGCAAAACATGCTGAAGAAAAGTTAAATGTCTGAGGAGATTGAATATTCTACGGTGAATTTATTTTTGAGAAAGGGCTCGAGACTATTTACAGCATACAGACAACTGAAAATATATAAACAAAGGGCGCAATAGGGTTAATAGTCAAAAACAAGTATGAGGACCGAAAAACCTGATGATAGTAAGCTATGTATAATAAATGCTTAATGGTACATTCTCAAACATCGTAAAGCCAAGGATCGAAGACATGCGGCTTGAAGGAACAGAACATTTGGTTGGCTTTAATATACAACATACGAATATTTCAGGATGCGGGGCGCTTTATTGAAGATCTTGGATGGGCAAGAAGAAAATCTTCAAGTGGCTTTAGATAAGGTTTACTATATTTCACGATTAGTTAAGCTGACAAAAAGGACGACATATTTCACATTCCACGATTGTAGCTATAAGCAGATACTTGATCTATGGGTCTAACACTTTTCTCTCTTCTGGCTAATATCTATATGAGCAAGTTGGGAAAAGAATAAGCTATTCCATCACTGCTACCAATATTGAATATGCAATATCTAGACGATTAAGTCACAAGTTGGTCACACTTTAAAAGTATTTGTTAATATATTTTGAAGAAATTAACAATACAAGTGGGGAAGACAGGGCGCTACCTTTCCTAACCTCGAAGCTAATTATCTTAAGTGGGAACCTTGGGGAACGGTTATTTAGAAGGAAATCGCACGAAACATGAATCCTCTATGATTAATCTCATCAAAATTGG